CAACGCTTTTTCAGCATGTCTGATTTGGGGGGGGGGGTAAACTCTAAATAATAATGGTGCATCTTTTATCGAAACAATGAATCTAGTCAAAGTAGATAGAGTGTTAACTAGAACTCATCCGCCTCACAGGAATTGGGAGGGGTGGGAGGCGGGGTTCTATTAGGGTTCGCAGTAAAAAAATAAGTATTGGTATAGGGAAGTGTGTTTGATATTTACATGACTGAGACCTAAACCTGAAAGCTCTGTAACTTTTCCCACAGTGATTTAATAAATAAATAAATTATTAAAAATTAAAAATAAATAAATAAATAAAACTCCTGCCTCTCTCCTGTCCTGCCCTGTGCTACCCACCGGCTAGATGGCTAGCATCCTGTGTCCTCTTGTCCTCCTGCGAACACTGCCCTCACACAGTAACAACAAAGTCTCCAATGGAGACGTTACTGGGCCCGCTCGAGCAAATCGACGATCAACGGGAGGGCCTTTACCTTTACCTTTACCTTACCCATTAAAACTAGAAAAGATGAAATTGTGCCATTTTAGACAATGAAATGGATGGGGCACAGGCTCAGTAAACATATAAAGAAAAACAAAACTCTTTAAGATTTTGTGGCTGATGGTGGAGAATGGGCACTGGTGGAGGGATGGGTATTCGATCATTGTATAACTGAACCCCAAGCACAAAAATCTGTAAATCTACCACTGTACCTCATGGTGTGTCACTGATAAAAATCTAAATGGAAAAAAAAGATTTTGTGGCTGAAGAGATAGTACAGAAGGGAGGGAGCTCGTCTCCAAGTGGTTGACCCAGGTTACATCCCTGCATAGGTCTCCTGAGCCGGACAGGAGTGATCCCTGAGCGCAGAGCCAGGAGTAAGCCCCGAGCACTGCCAAGTGTGGCCCCCAAGCACTTGAAAGAAAAAAACAACGGTATGATTTCACTGTAAGATAAAGCAACAAAGAGAATGAACAAACAAAACAGAACTGCACCTGACGATAGAATTCTGACAACCAAATGGTATTTACCAGGGCTCCAGGTGCGCAGGCTGCAGGTAAACAGGTAAAGGGGGTCAACGGTATGGTCCTGAATAAAAACTAGACTCTCTCCTCATCCACCTCCCCTGGAAAAGGATTTGAAAGTACCACAGAGTGAGTGCCAGGCTGCGGCACATCAGTGTGCACCACTGCTAAGGATGAGCGGCAACCACCAGACCAACAGCCCCAAGGAGCACCCATGGGAGCACTGCTACTGAATGGTAAGTGCAGCGAAAGGAAAGGCAAAGGAAACTGATCTTTGCTAAAAAACACGATTTCTACAAACACAATGAAAACTGAGTTAGGTTTGAAACAAAGACTCTCGTTTAACTCTGTACATAAGGGGGCAAGGCAGTACTGGGGTTAAGTTTCTTGCCTTGAATCCTGACAGGCCCCGTTCAAATCCCCAGCACCACACAGGTCCCTCAAGCATAATGAGGGGTCATTCCTGAGCCCAGAGCCAGAAATAGCCCCTAAGCACAGCTAGGTGTGGCCTCCAAAACAAAAAAAGACAAAATAAGAGGCTAGGGGACTGGTGTGTAGCTTTAAGCATAAAATGCATGCTTTGGCTTAATAAAGTGGCACTCCAAAGGTACGCTCCTGCTAACCTGAATACACCAGGCGTGGCCCCCCCAAACAAACCAACAAATGAATAATCTCTGCATTATGCAGTGCACAATTACAAAATGCAGATTCATAACCAAAGCATATGGCAAAGTGCAGCGATAGCACAGCGGGTGAGGCATTCGCCTTACAAGCGGCCAACATGGCCGACCCGAGTTCGATTCCTCCACCCCTCTCGGAGAGCCCGGCAAGCTACCGAGAGTATTCGATATGCCAGACACAGTAACAACAAAGTCTCCAATGGAGACGTTACTGGGCCCGCTCGAGCAAATCGACGATCAACGGGAGGGCCTTTTTATGGCAAAGTGCTAGGGACAGAGACGTGCCTTTGTTGAAGCAACAACTCCAAAGGACAACACAAGAAAAGAGGCGGCATTGAAGCTGGGCCCTGGTGACTAAACAGTATTTTAAAAAGCAAATGTTGAGGGAGGAGGGCATTTCTGACCCCAAGAAACTGCAAACACAGGAGTCTTAAAAGACAATCTGGTGTACGAGTGAACCAACAAGCAGCCACCCCAGGGAGTTATGAGTGTATGTGTGAAAGAGGCAGAGAAAAGCAATGATCCTGAAGAGCCCGCACTATCAAAGTGTTTGAATAGGAAAGTAATATGGGGGCCAGAGTGACAGTGTGGAAGGGAAGGTGCTTGCCTTGCTCATGGCAGACCTGGTTCCGATTCCCGGCATCCCATATGAGCATCGCCAAGTGTAATTCCTGAGTGCAGTCAGAGGCCCTGAGCATTGCCAGGGGTGGCCCCTAATGTTGCTGTTGTTGTTGTTTTAAATAATATGGCCAGGACAATGTTCTGATCTGGAGTACAGATGAGCTGAAATAGTGAAACCATGAGTGTTAAAGACTGTCCTGTTTTGAAAAATAACTGGACCGAGACACAAAAGAGAGGGAGCAGAGAGCTAGGACAGCGGATAAGGTGTGGCGTGCACAAGGCAGACATGGGTTCAATCCCTGGCACCCCATATGGTCCCCCAAGCCAGGCCAGGAGTGATCCCTGAGCACAGAGCCAGGAGTAAGCCCTGAGCATTGCTGGATGTGGCCCAAACACCCACCCAAAAAAAAAAAAAAGACACAAAAGAGCTCAAGATTAAATCCTGAGAAATAATTATATTGGAGAGGAGAGGAGGGAGGCCAATTAAAGAAACCACAATGACAGAGACGGGAGATGAAAGACGGTCCTGAAGGCCAAAAGGAAAGCAACTATTATGAGAGTAAGAAAGGAACCAAAACTTTCCGGTGCAAGAGTCACTAGCAAGGGACAGTACAGGTTCAATACGGGGCGAGGGTGGCAGCAACAAGTGAGGAGTCAATGGGGGTTCGGGACAGGTGAACATATTTAAAGGCAACAACAAGGAAGGGGAGATGGGGGTGCCTGAACTATGGCAGCGAGCGGAAAGTGAAAAGGGCAAAGAAAAGTTAAGAGCCAAAGCACAGTAAGTTTCCAAGAGGAGACTCACAATTTTCTTATCTGCAGAGAAAGAGGGGGGGAAAAAAAAGAGATTGAAACAAAATGACGATACAGACTGTTTGTATACAGAAGAAATACAGACACAGTAACAGAAACTTACAGAAAAAGGAGACTGAAACAAAAATAACCAAACAGGCCGAGTCCAAGAGGAAAAAAAAAAAAAAAACAGAAAAGCGGAAAGCGGCTCCACTGGCCTCGAGGGGCCGGAGAAGACAGCAGCACGGTGGCCGGAAAACGATGTAGCCCCGACCAAGGGAACTGAGTCCTAGTTCATGCACAGCCGCTTAAATAATAATAATAATAATAATAATTAAGTTTTACATACTGCAATCCAATGTCCACGGGTTAGAGAGAGGAGGTGACCGATCTTGAGCCCCCAGGCACTGAGAAACCAAGACACCGATCCCAGGGGGCAGCAACGCCGCCGAACTGCCCCTCCCCCGCCGCCCCGAAGTTAGCAAACCGCAAACCGCAAACCGCAAACCGCGCCCCGCAGCTGCCCACACAAACCCCCGCCGGCGCGTCTCTGCGGTGTGTGTCCCGCCAGGCGCGGGGAGAAACTGAGGCACAGGCACAGACTCCCGGAAGGCCCGCGGCGTGTGGCGTGCGTTTGCCCCTCCACCAGCGGGGCGCCCGTCCCCTCGGGAGAAACTGAGGCACGGACACAGACTCCCAGCAGCGGACCCCGCGGCGTGAGATATCCCTCCCCCCCTGCCCCTCCAACGCGCGGGGCGGCTGTCCGCTCGGGAGAAAGAAACTGAGGCACGGACTCCCAGCGGGGCCCCGCTGCGTGCGTGCCATTTCCCCCCTCCACACGCGCGGGGCGACTGTCCCCTCGGGAGAAACTGAGGCACAGACTCCCAGCGGGCCCGCTGTGTGAGATATCCCCCCCCACACACACACTCCACGCGCGGGGCGGCTGACTGTCCCCTCGGGAGAAACTGAGACACACACACACACACACAGACACACACACACACACACGCGAGACTCCCAGCGGGTCAAACTGAGACACACACACACACACACACACAGACACAGACAAGCGAGACTCCCAGCGGGTCAAACTGAGACACACACACACACAGACACACACACACACACGCGAGGGTCCCAGCGGGTCAAACTGAGGCACACACACACACAGACACACACACACACACACACGCGAGACTCCCAGCGGGTCACACACACACACACACACACAGACACACACACACACACGCGAGACTCCCAGCGGGTCAAACTGAGACACACACACACACACACACACAGACACACACACACACACACGCGAGACTCCCAGCGGGTCAAACTGAGACACACACACACACACACACACACGCGAGACTCCCAGCGGGTCAAACTGAGACACACACACACACACACACACACACACGCGAGACTCCCAGCGGGTCAAACTGAGACACACACACACACACACACACACACACACGCGAGACTCCCAGCGGGTCAAACTGAGACACACACACACACACACACACACACACACACGCGAGACTCCCAGCGGGTCAAACTGAGACACACACACACACACACACGCGAGACTCCCAGCGGGTCAAACTGAGACACACACACACACAGACACACACACACACACACGCGAGACTCCCAGCGGGTCCGCTGGGGCCGGGCCGGGCCGGGCCGGGCCGGGCCGGCAGCGCCGCTCCCCGCCGGGCCCCGCACGCCCCGGGCGAGCCGGCGGGAGACGGAGCCGGGCCCGGCGGCCGCGTCCCGCCGCCCCGAGCCGCGCCCGGGCCGCAGCGGGCGAGGCGATCCGGGCCGATCCGCGCCGAGCCGCGCCGAGCCGAGCCGCGCCGCGCCGCGCCGGGCCGAGGGTCTTACCTTTAACAGATTAGACGTCGCCATGTTCCTTCGACTCGGCTCTCGCGAGACGGCGCGAGACTTGGCGGCGCTCGGGCCCGCCGCCCCCGAGAGGCCCGGGCTGCCGCCGGGGCTGCCGCCGGGGCCCCGCGGCGGGCCGGGGGCGTGTGCCGGGCGCCGGGCGCCGGGCTGGCGTGCCCGCAGCGCTGACCGCGTCCCAGGCGCCTGCCGCTCCCTCGCGCCCCCCCGCTACATGGTCGCCGGCGCGGGCCCGCGCGCAACAGCTCATGCAAACGCTCGGGCGGGCCGGGAGCGGGAGCCGGAGCCGACCCGCGCGGGCCCCGGCCGCATCGACTCCGCGAGCGGACCGGCCTCCGGGGCTGCCGCCGGCCGCCGCCACCCGCCACCGACTTGGCTGGCTTCGGGCCGGCCCGCGGAGGGTCGACGGGCGCGTCACGTGACGCGGCGGGCGGGGGCGCGCGCGGGAGCGAGCGGGGAAAGCCCAGAAGCCTCGGGGCTCCGGGCGGGCGGCGCGCCCCCTGCTGGCGGGCCCGCGCGCTGCCCTGCTGCCCTGCGGGGCTCCCCGGGCACCTTTTCGCCCCGCAGTTGGGCCGGGGGCGGCCAAGATCTGGCGCCGGGAAGGGGCCCCGGAAGAAGCCGTTGAACGGATCGCCTGATTGATTGATTGATTGATAATACGTCCACTGGCGCGTGCCTGCCAGCGCACGGGTTTGACCTAGGAACGATGATTCGGGCAACGGGTCCGAATCGCCTTCCCAGAATCTGGCTGCTGTTGTATTTTTGCGGGGGGACTGGGGGGGCCACACCCCGCTGTGCTGGGGGTCTTGCTCCTCGGGCTGAGCTCCGGGATCTCTCCTGGCGGGGCTCAGGGGAACCCTAGGTCGTGCCAGGGATGGAAGATCCTGCCTTCTTTTTGTTGGGGGGCCACACCAGCGATGCCCCGGGGTTACTTGTGGCTGTGCGCTCAGGAACTCAGGGACACCATAGGATGCCGGAGGTGGAACCCGGATCCGCCTCGAACAAGGCAAGGGTCCATTTCCTCTTGCTCTGCCAGAGATCTAAGTTTTTAAAGTTAGAGCTGGAGCCGGTAGCACAGCGGGCAGGGCGTTTGCCTTGCACGCAGCCGGCCCAGGTTGGATTCCCAGCATCCCAGATGGTCTCCCGAGCACCGCCAGGAGTCATTCCTGAGTGCATGAACCAGGAGTGACTCCTGTGCATCGCTGGGTGTGACCCACCCCCCCCCCCCCAAAAAAAGCAAAAATAAAAAATAAAAATAAAGGTATTCTTAGCCCATTTGTAGTGGTTGCATAACTGGATGTGGGGGTCGTTTTAAAATAAATGATGATTTGTTATCTGATTTGTGTATCTATTTTATATTCCTGTATGCCCAGGGTTATTTAACAACTTCGCAGGTGAAAAGTAGTGGTGAGTGGGGAAAGTTTAAGATCCTAAAACCAGGGGCTGGAGCGATAGCACGGCAGGTAGAGCGTTTGCCTTGCACGCGCCTGACCCGGGTTCGATTCCCAGCATCCCATATGGTCCCCTAAGCACCGCCAGGGGTGACTCCGGAGTGCAGAGCCAGGAGTAACCCCTGTGCGTCGCTGAGTGGGACCCAAAAAGCAGGAAAAAAAAGATCCTAAAACCATAGCCCCAAACTTTAGATATTCAGATAAAAAAAAAGTAACAGTCAAGAATAGAAAATATTGGGGGCTAGGGTTATAGCTCAGCAGTAAAGTGCTTGTCTTATGTGTGTGAGGCCTTGACTTCAAACCCCACACCACACACAAAATTTATAGAGTTAGATAGTACAGTGTAGAAGAAACTTGCCTTTCATGTGGCTGACCTGAGTTTGATCCCTCCCACCACATGTGACTCCCAACCACTTCTGGGACTGATCCCTGAGCACAGAGCCAGAATTAAGTCCTGGGTACTGCCGTGTGTGACCCAGAGACCAAAACAATCGTAATGTATATGCAGAACCAACAGCATACAAGTATGGCACTATACATGTTTATGAACAGCATTCGTGTATTCCTAATATATTTGAAATAAGCATTAGAGAGTAAAGAAAGCAGAGAAGGGAATGGAATTTGCAACTGGAGGGTGTTCAAGAAGGCACCATTGCAAAGTGGCATTTGAAGGAGGTGTGAGAGGAGAGTCTTCCAGCAGAGAGACAAACCTTAAGAGACAGTTTCCCGGGGCTGGAGCGATAGCACAACAGGTCGGGCGTTTGCCTTGCACGCGGCCGACCCGGGTTCAATTCCCAGCTCCCAGCATCCCATATGGTACCCTGAGCACCGCCAGGGGTAATTCCTGAGTGCAGAACCAGGAATAACCCCTGTGCATTGCCGGGTGTGACCCAAAAAGAAAAAAAAAAAGAGACAGTTTCCCTCAGTGTCCCTGAAGCAATTGGAAGATCCAACTCAGAGCAGGAAGACTAAGATGAGCATCTGCTCAAACACAGCTTCTTAGAATATGGCTCAATGGGCTGAGCACAGGCTCTGTATGGAAAGCGCCCAGGTTCAAGCCTGAGCACTGCTGGGAGCAATCCCAGAGCAGAGAGCAGGGAATAAACCCAAGCACCTCCACTGTGGCACAGACAGGCAGGCAGGAAAGAAGGAAGGAAACAAACTTTTTCGTTGTTTTTGTTTTGAGCACAGCGGGTGGTGCTCAGGTTGACTTCCAGCTGCAGGGGATGAACCCAGTACATGGCAAGAGCCCCACCCCACTGTCTAATTGCTCTGGCTCTGGGAGATAACTTTCATGCTGAGTGAGGTGGTGGTGACTCGTGGCAGCTTTTGAACAGAGGAGAGCCTGATGAAACTCCCTTTTAGCAATAGCAAAGAGAAGCGGAAGGGTCATTTAGAGAGCTTTTGAATGTCATTCAATTGATACAACCTGCCACCTCAATGTCTCAGTTTATAATCTCATTAGAGGATAGTTTGGGCATGATTAAACATCTACGTGATTTACAGTCTCATTGCCTGGAATGTCCGGGTGGAATGTTAACATAGGAGTCTCTCTTACAGGGCATCTTGTTTTTCTGAAGCACTGTAGCACTGTCCTCCCGTTCATCGGTTTGCTCGAGTGGACCCAGTAACATCTCCATTGTGAGACTTGTTACTGTGTTTGGCATATCGAATACGTCACGGGTAGCTTGCCAGGCTTTGCTGTGCAGGCGAGATACTCTTGGTAGCTTGCCGGGCTCTCCGACAGGAGCGGAGGAATCCAACCCAGGTCGGCCAGGTCGGCATGCAAGGCAAACGCCCTACCGCTGTACAGGTGAGAAAAGGAGGCTCAAGGAGGAGGTCTGGTCAAAGTTGCTCTGCTGGGTCAGAGAAAAGGCCTAGTGCATAATAATAAACGGTCCTCCAGGGCCTAAGTCAAGCTCACCCTCCTTCTTCTACTCATCCACTAATCCCTAGAAGTCTTCTTCAGGAAAGAGAAGCCTAGGCCAAGGTTAAAAGGAACCTTGCAAGACTAACACCCAAGAATAGCCGAGATAAATACCAGGAGCTTTACTCCATGGCTTGGAGGCCAGTTTCACGCTCTAGGGGTAAAGGCAGCCCAGATGTAGAAGGGAGCACCAAATGGGGGGTATTGGAAGGAGCGGAGGAATCCAACCCAGGATGGGAGAAGCATGCTGAGACTAGACTCTAGACCGAACATGTTGCCACTCGATGCCTCTTTTGCAGGCCACAGCACCCAAAAGGAGAGAGAGAACAAAAGGGGGTGCTATGCTACAGAGGCAGGGTGGGGTGGGGGGATAAGGGGGGTGGGAGGGGTACTGTGATCAGTGGTGGTGGAAAATGGGCACTGGTGGAGGGACGGGTACTCGATCATTGTATAATTGAAACCCAAGCACAAACATTTGTAAGTCTACAACTGTACCTCATGGTGTTTCACTAATAAAAAAAAATTAAAAAATAAATAGAGGCTAAAGAAAAAAAATGGAACCTTGCATATGGTCCTTAGCTGTGGGGCTTGCAATAGTAAGGGCGTGTTTTGACTCTAGCTCCTCCTAGTGGTACATCAGTTAACTACAGTGGCAAGAGCTGCTGAGATCACTTTCACTTTGGGGCTCAAAAGGATTTCAAAGACCCCCAAAGAAACACACACGCTTTCTAATTCTTGTTTATTATCTACAACCACACAAATAATTACTTCACCAAATAATTGCTCACTTTTGTTTACCAGAAGAAAACAACTTTATCTTGCCTAATTAGTGCCAAGTAGACGAAACAAAAATTAGCAACTGTTGGCATAAGAACCATAATACTTCTTATTCATGTTATCACTTGGAGACTTCATCTAATTAGAGTTTTATTTCTTGATGCCTCTGCTATCACTTAAAAGTCTTATCTAACTCATTTTAGAAATCATTTCAATTTGGACAACTTACAAGATGAGTACAGACCATATAAGTAATGTTTTAATGATGGAATTTAGAGACTTACTTTCTACCTGAACTCGACTTCCTTTTTTTTTAAATTAATTTTGCTTTGGGGCTGCAACCAGCAGTTCTCAGAGCTTACTCCTGGCTTTGAACTCAGAAATTACTCCTGGTGGTACTTAGGGGACCACATGGGATGCCGAGGATTGAACCTAGGTTGTCCATGTGCAAGGCAAACATCCTAACTACTGTAGTTAGACTGTTATGGTCCCTGTTTTTATATTTTTGTTTTGGGGCTACACTCAGTGATACTTGGGGATCTCCAGGCTCCCTCATGCATGTTCCCTAACCCCTTGAGTCACCTTCCCAGCTTGTGAACTCAACCTCTCCAGTCCCAAAACTCAACTTCTTACTTGAAAATAAGTCTAAAGTAAATCATCTAGGTATTTTTGCTGTGCCAAAGCAACCTAGCAGGGCAGAAGCGATACGGCCAGGAGTAACCCCTGAGCATGGCCGGGTGTGGCAAAGCACCCCCCACCTCACCCCACCCCACCCAAAAAAGAAAAAGTGACCTAACAGTTACATCCAAAAAGATGTGTCTCATTGGGGGTTTTGCTCAGTGAACTGATGCTTATAAAATGGAAATAGCCTGCAGCCTCACTCATCTTGGCTCAGGGCTTACTCCTGGCTCTGTGCTCAGGAATCACTCCTG